CTGTCAGTTCAAAAAGTATACCTAGGATTTTATATGTCGTGGATCTCGATGTAATTCTAAACACCGCCGTAGAGGGGGCCACCGCATTAATCTTTTACCATTCGTTTTTTATCTATACGTACACCTAAATAAAGGCGCACGAGTGTCTTCGCTTGTACTACCAAATGTAATGCGACCACCACCGATGGTAATCGAACCCGAGTCCTCAGTGCACTTTATGGCCCCAGGTATATTGCAGGTTCTCGGCTTGAAAGTATCACACTTCAATAGTGTGCAGTGAAATTTATGACGTCACATCGACGTATCACAGCTGTAAATTTAGCGTTTTTAAATCATTCGAACGAGGGAAGTCAGCTTCATTGCCCGTGCCGTCGGACGCATGAAAACCGTTCTGAAATATTGCTTCAGCAGCCTACGATTATTTTTTTTAATTCAGGTTTCTTAAACGCGGTTAGCGAGAGTTTGTAATTCTCGCAACGAGAGTATGCTGTCCTACACTCTGGCCGTGCACATAATGTCACCACCACAACCGCATTTGAAGAAACGAAAGCACAAAGACAATCGACCTTGGCGTTTTAACGGTGAGCGCACAAAACGTTCACACATGCCAAAAACTACCGGAAAATGCATTACTGAGGTGCGCTCGGCCAACCGGAACACAGAGCAATCATTAGACATTGATTGATATGCGAGATTTAACGTCCCAAGACCACCATATGAGTATGAGAGACACCGTAGTGGAGAGCTCCAGAAATTTCGACCACCTGGAGTTTTTTAACGTGCACCCAAATCAGAGCACACGCGCCTACATCATTTCCGCGTCCATCGAAAATGCAATCGCCACAGCCGGGATTCGATCCCGCGACCATCGGGTCAGCAGCACAGTACCTTAGCCACTAGACCGCTGCGGCGGGGACTAATGATTCGACACTGCAGCTTTGTCAATGTAAAAATCGCCACCCAAGCACTCCGTATACCAACGAAGTTGGAACGTGTGCTCAGTCATTGACTAAGTCGGTCCAGAAATCGAAACTGAAGTTTGCCGCCCATGTGACCCCTCCTTGGTTTTCAGTGAATCAGTTGCGAGTAGTGGGGGCTTGTATTTCTGTAGCACAGAGAGCGCTAGGAGTTTTCGCGCACACTAGACAGACGAAGTCTGGCTTAGCCTATATACAATTAAGTACAGATTTGCGGTAGGGGGGCCTTTGTCAGGCAGTTTCATCTGCCTTTAGCCCTTCATCCCAGACCATGACTGTCTGAATAAACTTCAAAAAAAAAAAACGAGTTAAAATAGGCTAATATCCCATTTATTCCTTTCGTTGGGAGGATGTAAGAAAGAGAGTGCCCATAAAAAGTACCACATAGCAGCTTTAAGCTCTAAACATCTAGGGTAATAAAATTAACCGCGACTATAAAGACGCGAGAAAAAGGGCGGGAGCTGCCGCACAATATATTGTCGAGAGGCGTTGAAGGTCACACTTGCCCGAAACTTCGACCTCTGTTGCTCGACAATACAATGTGCGCATGTTTACTAAGCGCTCCAGTGAGTCTATTTAGCGCGGGGGGGGGGGGGGGGGAATCTTAACCAATGGACAAGATGAGCACTGAAATTGAACTGCACGCGCATTTTCAATATGCAGGCGGGGAGTCGCACCCGCGACCTCGTGCTGAGCAGTAGAACAACGCAACTGCTTAGCTACTGGTCCGGAATAGTAATTAAAACTAAACCATAGCTTTTCTTCTACCCCTGTAATCTACACAGTTCGAACAAAAATACAAGAACACAGAGAGACCCCCCCCCCCCTCCCTTCGCCCGGGGAACCGCAGTTACCAGTAACGCACAGCTAACAGTATATGCGAAGAATTAAGAAAAACAAAATAGAAAAATACAAGTAGCTATCTTTAACACCACTGAGCGCTCCACATTCACACACAGCGACCAGAACGCAGTGGAAAAGGCAACCGGTTTTCCACTCGACACTGTTTTAAAACATACAGCAGCAGCTGCACTTCGGCCTCGTGGCAGTTGTAGGGTTTTTCCAAGCCGCCTCTGCCGAGAGCGGCTTGCCGATAGATAAACACGAAACCAGATGCACCAGACGGTCAGCGAGACAGACTACTTTTACCTCACTTCTGTTCGGCATCCCCTGAAGGGGTTCGGCTGATGCAATGGGCTTAACGAGCACACCGTGGCGCTAAAAGAGCGTATGATAACGATGGAACTACAGCTGAGCGCGACATTTAACATCTGCGTTTCCTACAACTAGGAACGAACAACCAACACAGTGGAGCTGGTTGGTAGGCATTCAAGTGAAGGGCGTTTGGGCACGGACACGATAACGCTGTGCGAGTTGTTCACTTGTGTATGCACTTGACTAGTGTCACTGTTGACAGCAGCGCCGTGCTGATTTGACGAAGTCATGCAACTCTTTGGCGGTTGCTAACGGTGAAAAGTCACTGTTACGTGGCGTGTTCACAATGCAAGAAAAAACTGCCTTTAAACCTAACCTCAACAAACTCGCAAACCATAGTTAGTAGAATATATCTTGTAAATAATGACCATGCAAGGAATGGTCCATTCATAAATAAGCCTCCACATTCCAAGATTTTAAAATGAAACTTCTGTCAAAGGGTGGCACCGTGACCACAGCGTTGTCCCGCTAGTGTCCATGCTAGCACGCCTGCCTTTCAGTTGCGTAAACGCCTTTGATTTAGATTACCAAGGCTCAGTGTGGCGATTAAAAATGAAAGCGAGCCTCATTAGACACCTGCCTTCACGCCATTTGGCACACACTAGAATAACACGTGGCTCGGCTTGGTTTATATGCAGAGTTTAACGTCATAAAACCACCATATGAATATGAGAGACGCCGCAGTGGGGGGCTCCGGAAATTTCGACCACCTGGCTCGGCTAACCGGCGAAAACACTGCACGGTCATTCCTGGCAGGGCGGAATAACTCAGACACGAACGAAACGAGCGCTATAGCGGTACAATTTAGGTTATATTTAAAATAGCCTCGAGACGTTCCTTCCGGACATTTCAGATTTACGCGTATTCTGTTTTAATACTATTTTTCCAGTGAGCAATGTTGCAACGTGAGTAGTCTCTAAAAAATAGAACAGGGCGAGTTGCTATTTTCGATGAAATCTGACGTGCCACGAATAGGACGCATTAAAGACGTGTTCTCTCTTTTGGGTCCCACGACTCTCCGATGAAAATATTTTACTGGTGTTTTATAAAACGTGCCAGAGCCACGATACCGTTATGAAGCACACTGTATAGTAGGGGACTGCTGATATCGACCAACTGGGGTTCTTTGACGTGCACCTGAATCTAAGCACACGGGTGTTTCCATTTAGCACCTTTCGAAACGCGACTGCCGTGGCCGGGAGTCGAACCCGCGCCCTCGAGCTTAGCAGCGCGACACCCTACGTGCTAAGCTACCATCGCGGGTGCACGATACTCCGGCGTGGGTGCAATAACCCCCTAGAATAGTTTACGTGTACATTTAAAGGGTCATACGCGTGGCATGTGACTTAATGGCCAGCACTTGTGTTCGTGTAATGGCTCAAGTAGACCGCAGCGGCAGAAAAACAGCGAGGGATGAGAATGACAACTGGAGCAAAACAAAACTCACTATAATTGCAAGTTACGCCACGACGGCCGTGTGATCACACCTGGCGAATTTTTCCGATGGTCGCGTCCCTGAGTGGTTGTTGATGGACCATGTAAACACGGCTTAAAGCGCGCAAGAGCCTAATGGTTGCGACAACAAAAAAAAAAATCGCTGCGTAAAAATGGCAAGGCCACATTCCGGCGAGGAAAAAAACTAAAGGAAGGAGTCGCAAATGGGGGGCGAGTGACTGGAGCTCAAGGTGGACCGGTTTGCGCACCAGCAATCACCACACACGCACCTACGAGTGACCACAGACTCGGTCTCACTGCAAACAGGAGCTATTTTAGAAGAAAAATAAGTACGCCTTCAAGGGAAACGGCAACCATGTACAAATAGAACCCGCCGGCTTTTGTGGCCACGCAAAGCAAGAAAAAAAATGCACTCGACACCTTTTCCCCAGCAGCCTTTCCATCGAAGGTAGGGCTGAAAGGGAGAGAAAGGCGAAAACGTGCGTTCGTGCGGCTGGTCACATGTCTGTACACACACACGCGCGCGCGCGCATGCAATGAAGTCAGATTCGCAGAAATCAGCGGAGCGAGAGGGATACATATGCATCGCCTGGTCTACACCACACACTACTAGTTTTCCTCGAACAGCGCGACTGAGGACAAGGTTGTGTGACGGCGCTGACTGATAATCACACACCGCGAAGTATCGGAAAAACAAATGTTTGACACAACCGTGTTACACACGAAAAGCTAGACGCGAAATCAACCTGCATAGCACCACTAATCATAGGCCAACGCAGACCAGTTTTACGAAGGCAACTGTCAATCAATGCTAAGGGGCATTTCAGCACCGTTGGCGCGCTTAGTACCGATGGAAGTAACGATACAAGTGGGTCTGCACTTCATCTCGAAAGGCTCAAACTTTCCGAAAGTAACACGATTGCAAAACACAGCAAGCGCGCAAGAGAGGTCAATAACGCGCGGCGCTACGAACTCTGAAGGTGACCTTAATGCATGTGGCTGCCAGCAGACTCCACGCTACTCTAAAGTACAGCGCAGAGTGTGAATTTTCAGATGGCACACATGCTGATACAGCAACGTCAGCCAAAACGAACTGCACGATCTCGGCAATAGCACCGCCAATGAATGACAAAACATACAAAAATGGAACTAGTCATGGCCTACGATGCGAACACGATGCTGTATACATTACAAAAAAATTACAGCTAAAGCATTAAGTCCACAGGCATAGGAATACGAAGGTATAAAATAAAATAAAAGCACATTTAGCAAGCACTCCGAGACAGCTTTCGCACATCCAGCAACGTGCTACGTTACATTGAACAGCTATAGCAGCTAGCGAGAAAGGCTTACCTTCTTTCTCTTTTCGGACATCATCTTGTCTTGCTCTGCTGTATGCAGGTCACACTTGGAAAATGAAGAAACTGGACGTCTTTTAGGTGTTTTTGCCGAATTCGAGACAGCCCAAGCCCGACGCTTTCCTTGCAGACTGCGACTACAGGGAGCACGGCCGATCCACTAGCTCACAGGGCTACGCGAATGATGACGACTGAGGGCGTGCGTCTTTACGTCACATTAGTAGCCTCCTATTGGACAGCGCTTGCACGCCCTCAAGTGACGTTTTTCCGGTTTTCTAAGAAGCGTGCAAGTAGGGTTTGCATATTTTGCGTTGTTTTTTTTGTTGGCTTCGAGCGAAGCGAGGCCGTCGAGGCTGCTGATCGCAGGAGAGCCGAGGTGTGGGGCGTTGTAAGTGTACTAATACCAAAATTTCCGCCCCACTAATGATCGGCAGTTCGTAAGACGTTGAGAAGTTCGCCGGGGTGAAATAAAACTCGTAGCCGAGCTGATGTAAAGGTATGCAATCTCGTATCATACTGCCTAATTAACAGCTCCGGTGTATCGTTTGTAAAGATCATCCGACTGTCTAACTGCTTGAGAGTGGTTTGTTTGTGCTTGGCGTAGATACCAAGCTATTCTCGAAATACTCTCGTCACTGCGTATATTACCTGGGGATGCCACCATTCGTGGCATTTTGTGTCGTCTGTTTTTTCAGTAGCTTCGGCTCATGGCTACAGTTACGGTCACCATCAGTGGTCCCTTGCTGGCTACCCTCGTTTATGAGCATTCTAACAGTCCTGGCGACCAGGTGGGCACTATCTCTTGTTTTATGCATGGCATCAATGATGTACTTAATCTTTTAGGATGGCTTTCTCTTGGGAGAAATATCAAGTCGTATAACTGATACGATCAGTGACGCTCAACTTCACGGCGAAAAACAGGAGACTAACCTCAGTAAGTTGCTTGCTTGCTTCACTTGCAGTTTATTAGAAGCACTGTACGGTGTGTGGTACAGCGATCGCGTCACAGTTTAGTGTTCTTGCTTTCAGAAATATGTTCGATTATCTCGTGTGACCTGTTCGAATTCTACGACAAAAAGTGTCATCTAATTGCGGACAAACTGTCGGCACTGCTACGAGACAAGCAAAAGGTATAGTACATCACACCTATTAGTCAATCCATTCAATGTACGTTTTATTCGGCCGCCAGTTAAAACATTTTTCGAATCAACATGCTTTAAGAGAATTATAGCTGCAATGCAGGTGTTCCTTGTCATTGATCATTCTCCGTGGGCGTAGCATACCTACCAATTCTTTGCACATAAGCTTTCTTGTTGTTTTTAAGCTGAAAGAGTCACCTTCTAATGATTGTGTCCTTTCCTGAACACATTGCCTACTTATCTAACAGCCTATGTATACCAAGCATTCAGAGAAGCCTTCCTATATGACCTACAATGTTTCATGTGAAATGCCAAAAGATGTAGCTGTAATAGGAGACACTTATGTGGCATTCAAGAGTTGCCATGTCATCCAGAAAATATGTGCGGCCCCATAGATGTGACAATGTATCTTTATTAGTTATATTCTTCCCGTGTTACACCACTGTGTAAACATGCCTAGTGGACATTTTCATTCCTAGGAAGTTGTTGGGTGGTACCGCTTCAGGCGCAACACAAGCCTGCAGACATCCCTACGAGAGCAGGTGCTCCATCAACGATTGGTTCGAAAGCTTGGCCAAGGCTATGGAAATTACTTCCTGCTGGCACTCTTCAGAAGCTGCACCTCATCCAATGATGCAACACACTCAATGGAGCATGTTTTCTTGCGCTCTACAGACCCGTGCGTACATTTATGCTCGCCAGTTGCTCTTCCTCGAAGCAACTTGCATACCTGAACAAGTTTGACACTTTAAGTTTTGTTCCCCCATCTTTTAAAGACATGTATGGAGCATTATTATAAGTATATCATTCTACTGATGTCCTTATCTTCATAAGATTTGTGTAGATAAAAGAGGCGGCAAAATGTTGCTGCTACTATGTGGTTTTTCCTCGCTTCTTGGCGCAAGTGCTGCTCTTTTGTACTCAGTGTCAGCAGTGTATTTAATGTTTACATTCGGTAAGTGAAATCGCTGCTCAAGCAAGGAAAAGAAACATCCATGTAACATAGAGATGCAGAGGGCAAGACTGTTGTCTAGAATTTTTCAGCTGCATGCTGCGGCTTTTGCAAGCAGCAAGCAGAATAACTGAGTGTGATAATGCCTACATTTATAGAATTTCTCATTTTATTGTGCGAGCTGGCTGCTGCATGCTTGGACAGCTGCTTTTACGTGGCATCATGGAACAAAACCAAAAGTTACACAACTCTATGCAGACTGTGCATACTTTGTGTGCATAAAACATGGAAATCTCTTGTGATGAGATAACCCTTGTGCTCGGTGCTTTGCATCTGCATGCATTACTCTACCTGTGTAACACTTGCACCGGGACCCGCCACGGTGGTCTAGTGGCTAAGGCACTCTGCTGCTGACCCGCAGGTCGCAACATCAAATCTCAGCCGTGGTGGCTGCATATTCAATGAAGGCGAAAATGCTTGAGGCTTTTGTGCTTAGATTTAGGTGCACATTAAAGAACACCAGGTGGTCAAAGTTTCTGGAGCCATTCACTACAGCGTCTCTCATTGTTAAAAGAATGTAACAAATCTAGCTCTACATGTTAACGTAAATTTCGTTCGAACCAAGTGTAATAATACAGTAACGGCTTATCATGAGTGAGGCACCCTGGCACAATATGCCTATTACTCTGGAGAAGCTGTTGCATAAAAGTCGCACTTAAAAAAAAATTAACAAGTTTTTGATGGCAATAAAGCTGGTTACCATATAAAATATTTTCGTGCAATGAAGGCCACTGAGTCGAAACATACACTGAATTGCACACCGTAATTTAAAAGTCTGAACACTGCTTGTAGCCTTTGTGGTCTTTTTTTTCATATTTATTCTGTAGTCTTTGTTTTACATATATTGTATATTACATATATTGTGCCACAGAACTTGAAAAGATATAATTGTTTTATCCACATAGTAGCCAGAGTTTGGTGTAGTTATATTACTGCACTATTTCTTCACATAAATGAAGATTAGCTTTGTTCAGAGATGTAAAAATATACATACATGATAGCTTGACCAATGATGTACTGTGTAGTTAGTACCTGGTCAGATACAAAATATGTCCAAAGTTTAGCAATCTACACATTTGCTTAAGAAGTATGAATGTTTTGTACATTGCAAGGTTTAATTTATTTGCACATCGTGAAAGTTGGCGAGCCTAGGCATTGAGGTTACTGCATGTACCCTGGTTCTGCTGTCAGTATCCACAAGGTGATTTGCTGTAAATACGTAGACTCCTTGAAGCCATTTGTGCTTGACATCTTCAACTTGGTGTTCTCTGTGAAGTATCAAGCCCAGGTGATGATCATGATTCTAAAGCTTGTGCTTGCCCTTTATCATTGCAGGGCTTTCAAACATTATTCTGCAGTTCCACTACACATAGTGAACCTTGAGGAGCCTGGTCATTCAGATTACCGCATGTACCCTGGTTCTGCTGCCAGTATTCACCAAGGGGCTTTCTGCGAAGTACTCAACTCTCTCCCAGCCGAGTAAGATCCAGGCTCATTCATGAAGGAACATGTTCCCCCTGGAGCTTTTGTTTCCATTTCTGGCCTCTGCTGCTGAAATTCTGTGTGTCACTTTATCGTTCGGTGCTATTTGCAAGAGACTGTGCAGCTACTGATGCCACATTACCAGCTTTGAATCCCATATGACTTAGCATGTACTCACTCTCAAAACTATGAGGGTATTTTTTTTTTTGAAGATAGCATGGTCAGATTGCTAGTGTTTATTTGTCCTTGTAACTGAGCACTAAGGGCCCCATATTGTTATCCACAAAAGATGTTCAGTTCTAGCACATATTGCAATTCAAAACGTGAATTTAAAATCACTGCTTAGGAGCTCCTCCCACCAAAAGCAATCACCGTTTTTACATTGACTGTGTGGGATCAATAATTGGAGCCACCTGTTCTTCTGGCTGTGAAACAGTTTGATAGACTGAACATACAGATATGCATGCTCCTGGTATACATCAGTGGTATTGCTGTTCGCTGTTCATTAGTGCCTGTAATTAGTTCATTAGCCAGAAAACTTGTGATATGCCAATTAAAAAATATTAGTGTATGACAGCCATGGCACACTTCCAGCACTTGAAACCATTCCCATTTGAAGTATCCTAAGGCATGGCTCTCAAGGTGGCTTGCAGTTACTTTGAGAGAGTCATTTCTAGAAGTGTTAATTCGTTTCATCACCACTTACTAGCATGGGTGTTGGAGGCCGCACGAGCACCCCCCTCCCCATCATGATGCAGCACGGGTTTGCACCCCCCTTCCCCCCCCCCCCCTTTAAGAAAAAAATCGCAGACTCCCAAGTCACCAAAAGTTTGTTGCTTCTTACTCTGACATCTGAAGTGTGTGTGCTATAATGGGCTGGTGATTGACATCCCCACAAATTAGGTGTCAGGGTTGTATATATATATATTTACACTCAAATCTCATTACAGCGGAGTTATATCCTACAAGAAAATAACTTCGTTGGATCCAAAAATTCAATACAAAGGTTATTCATAACATTGTATCTAGTGCAAGACTATTTTTCATTTACTTCATTATAACCAATATTTCATTATATTCTTGTTTGTTATATTGAGTTCTGAGTGCATAGCCTAGAGATTCCAAGTCAGTGTTGTTGTTGACAACTTGACAGTATTTAATGGTCAGCAGTATAGATGAGGGGGTCAAACTAAGATTGAAGTTGAAAGGACCAGCAGTTGACCAAAATGTGTCCTGAAGGGGAAGGTGCAACAAGTGAAAATAATACACTTATATTGATTGAATTATATATAAAAGTCATGGAAAAAATATAATCTTGAAATGGTGTAGAACATTATCTAAAACAGCATGCCATTACATTCAGCCGTGAAACTTTCGTGTCAACATTGTAGCAGTCCTTTTTCATTCCAGGTTGGTGCACATAATTTGTCATTAAGTCATCTGTGTATTTATTTTTTACTGTTCAAATGCATGTTACAAAGGAAAGAAAGTTACCATTTTCACAACTGCTGCCATTCTGAACATGAATAGAACAGCAGAATGAGC